CAGGAATGATTCAAAAGACTGGCCTTTGGTGTTGTGAAGAAAAGAGAATATAGTCTTTTTTATTTTTTTAAAGAGAGATTTTTTTGCAGGACCAGCAGTTGGCGTAATGGCTATGTCGCTGGACTCCCATGTAGTTGACTACAATTCGAGTTCCAGACCCAGTGGTTTAAATTCACGCCGGGCGTGTGTGTGTGTGTGTGTGTGTGTGTGTGTGTGTGCCCAAGATCCTGAGAGGAGAATGGAGGAGAAGGGATTGCAGCATGGCCATCCCCCCTGGGGGGTGATTTCTCGCTTTCTGTCTCTCTGTCTCTCTGGCAAGTGCATGTGCCCTATAGCAAAAACCTCTAAGAAAAAAAAAAAAGATTTTTGCTATAGGGCTGGTGCACTCGCTGAAGAGACAGAGAGCTGGTCCTGAGAATGCAGTCTTACAATGTGCCGCCGCATGTAGGCCAAGGCACCAGGCCAGAGGTATAATGAACAACTGCCAAGGTGTCCATCTGGGGTCCAGAGACCCAAACACGGGTGCTGGAGCCCTGGGGTAGGTGGCAGCCCCAGACCCACTCCTTAACTGACCTTGGTCTTGGAGTGGAACTGGAGCCCCATCTGGTAATGGGGGTGGGGGATGAGCTGCTTTCATTTAATCCTCGTCAAATGCTCCACTTGCCACTGGATTTAGGGGCATTAAGGCTGAGTAAAGGAAACCCATCTATCAGGGCTCGGCTGGATTGTCTTAGCTGCTGGGTAAACTTGAGGGCTTCTCAGGAGAATGCTCCCTGGTGGACAGCATCATCAGGCCTTCGGTGCAGAAGGTACGACTGCTTTTCCAAAGCCAGCAGGGAGTCACAAAGCAAACTGATGGCAATGCACCTGTCCTTAGAGTGTCTCAGAAAACCCTGTCCCCAGTGAGGTGGAGGTGGCCCCATGCAGAGCTGCCGGAGGGGTGAAGAGGGGTGGGGGGGCACTACCACCCCACTGCTGTTCGCAAAATACAAATGACAGTTCAGTACCGTTAGTAAAACATGTTGATCCTTGTTTTTTAGACTCCCTTCCCCAGAAACAATCTTCTCCTGTTGATTTTTTTCTTTTTCTTTTCGGCTTGGGTGTACAGGTCTATGAATTTTAACACATGCACAGATCCTGTGACCACCACAACAATGAAGATACAGAAGATCCAGCTGCCCGAGAGATGAATTTATAGTACCACCCTCTCCCTCTCTGACACCTGGCCACCACTGAGTTGTCCTCCATTCCTGTGGTTTGACTTTTCAAGATTAGCATACAGATGGAATCCTATGAAATGGAACCATTGGAGACTGGGGCCTTTCACTCAGCCTACTGCCTTCCAGTTTTACCCTGCTGTGCATATCAACGTTCTTTCCTTTTTGGAGCCAAGGAGTATTCCTTTACGTGAATGTTAGACCGTCTACCCACTCTCTGGTTTCTATCTGGGGACAAATATGACGCAGACGCTAAGCATCTGTGGACAGGTTTTTGTGTAAATACCAGTTTTCATTTTTGTAGGGCTGATAGTCAGGAATGAGAGGGTTTGGTTGTATGGTGTTTGCTAATTCTTCTTTTTCTTCTTTTGTAATTTGCTAGAGGGCATGTGCATTTGCTGGAGAGAGACAGAGGGAGAGAGAAAGAGGGAAAGTAAGTAAGCACCCCCTGCGGGGGATGGCCACACTGCAATCCCTTTTCCTTCATTCTCTCCTTGGGATTTTGGGCACTCATGCACACGTGTCCAGCAGGATTTTCAAAGCTACTGGGTCTGGGACTTGAACTGCACAGCTGGCCATATGGGACCCAGCTGCCTTAATCACCATGTTACCACTGGCCCTGATTCTTCTTAATGATCAGAGATATCAATACTCCTGCCGTAGACTGAGTAGTGTACTCCCAAAATTCATGCCCAACAGGAAACTCAGAATGTACTCGTAAGTAGTCTTTGTAGAGGTACTTAGTTACAGATCTTGAGATGAAGTCACCACGTCCTTATGAGAAGAGGAGAGAGGACGTGGATACAATTACCATGCATATAGAACGGTTCACAGGGAGAGAAGAAGGGGAGGTAAAGACAGGCAGAGGCGGGACTGATGAATCCAC